CAGCGAAGGAGCGGGCGGCGGCTGCGACCACGCCCCGGCCGGAGCCTGACTTTCTTTCGGTTGAGGCGACGGAGTATGGCGAGCTCGGCGACGGCGAGTAAGCAAACCGGTCCGGCGTGCTCCGCGACTCGGAGCTAGGGCGCCGGGGTCCGTACGACGGGTTTCGGCTCATTTAGTTAGAGAGAGAGAGAGAGAGAGAAAGAGAGAGGTACGTAGACGTAGAAATGGCGGTTAGTTGTTGTGAGCTGTGAAAGTTGAGACGAGAAGACTTTGATTTTTCGAAAGACGCGTGCTAAGGAGTGGGACCATGAAAATAATTGGACATTTTCCAATTAATGTCGATTTTATTTTTTATTTATAAAAAAAATTATTTTTAATTGAAAATTTTGCTTCTATTTCTGTGGCTACAGTTTGAACAAGTCGGTGTAAAAACATTGGCCCGACAGATTATATTTATGTAACATGTAAATTGTAATTACCAAACATGCTTGTCTTGGATATGAGCAAAAGTATTATTTTGTGCACAACTCCTACCCAACAAAATTACAAATCATAATTGATAGATATGATGACAGTGTAGTCACAATCACATCCGTAGTACATAATTGATGTAACAAAGTATGTTCTTTGTTAGGAAATTTTACCGTACAAATTCGTATTTATGGAGAATGCGGATGTAGTTGTTATAGCTCGAGAGATTCACTATTCTCTGTATCTAGGGTATGGATTAATTTGTACGAAGAAAGATCAAGTTACAAACACTTTGATTAGAAGTTAATCAAGTATATCAATCCAACAACACCAAGAGGGTGAATTTCAAGGACAGAATTCTGCAGTTTGTTGAGTATTGCCAGAAGTTCAAGGAAACCCTTCCAACCAACATCCTCTTTTATTAGTATAATTTATTTTTGGTTGATACTGATAGAATTAGACATATTATATGGGGTGAAATGATGTGACTGCCCAACAATCAGGCAAAAATGGTATGATTTTCTAACACACAGACAGATGTCAGGTGATTCAGAATTATACAGCACTACTGCATCACAGATATAAACTTTTCTCCTTCATCAGCCTGAGCAACAACCCTAGCATAGCATACACCTCTGGTGCTTGTGGGTGGGATTCATCACCTGGAACAAATGTACAAATGCCGCCGCCGATCTCCACCCAGTACAGTCTGGAGCTTTATAATCACAACTGTGCCTCATCATCTTCCGTGCTCTTGAGACGTCACCACGATGACCTTGAGAAGAGTAGATGCTAGACATGAGAGTATAACATTAAATTTCAGAGCAAATATAATGGGTAATTAAATAATCTTGTGCAATTATATTTTTAATTGGTCAAATTAGTTTAATGTTATTTTATTAACTTTGATCATGTCAGGAAGTGTGCCACCTAAATATAATATGCTAGCGTCGAATTAAAGAACTTCAACTTATCCATACGGCAATGATGATGAATGGAGGAATCCGCAAGCACTAGAAGAAATAAACAAAGGAAGCATTTGATGGCAATTGGCTTGGTGGCAAGGTGGAATAATAGTTTAATCATAGCAAGTTGCAAATGTTGCAACTGGATGGAGCAATTCTCATTCTCTATAAATAGAGATGACGTAGAAGGAAAAAAGACACCAGAAGCTCCACAACTTTATGGGGAACTAACTCCCTAGCTAAGGCTAGGGAGAAAGCTTTTAATATGATTGTGTGATGTGAATATGGATTTTCAGACTCCATTCCATGAAAACTTGGTAACAACTGAATCATACCCAGTTTAAAATTAAAATTATTATCATTCATAGGAAAGATAATGTAAGATGGCATACTTCTTCAGGTAGGATGAAAATAATCATGCAATGTTCTAACAGGTGGATTATCATAGTGTATATTCCCAGCATCATCACTTTCATTATGAACACTATGATTATCTTCAATTTGAGGAATTGGTTCATTGTTTTCATCATTTTCAGCCATTTCTGACGATCCTAAGTCAAAAAGAAAATTTTCAAAAACAAAAACAACTTCAAGTTCTAATTGAGGTGTTTCTACAAATCTACCAATTTTATCATGAGTTCTCATACATAAAAATAAAATAAATTCTTACATAAAGTAAATAAATAAACAAACAACAGCAAATTAAAAACAAAAACAAAACAAATAAATAAATAAAATATTAACAATGAGACGAGTTTGGAAAGAGCGTACCAGATGTGAAGAATTTCACATAACCAGCAAACCTCCGACCGAGGGGATCTCTGTACAGCCTGGAGCTTTATAATCACAACTGTGCCTCATCATCTTCCGTACTCTTGAGACGTCACCCCAATGACCTTGAGAAGAGTAGATGTTAGACATGAGAGTATAATTCACAGGCTTGTTTGGCTCCAATGCAAAAAGCTTTTGTGCTGCCCATTTTGCTAGTTCTATGTTTCCATGGACTTTGCACGCCCCCATGAATGCTCCCAAGGTGCTTGGATCAGGTTCGATTGGCATTGAGGTCAAAGCCATGAAAGCCTCGTCTAGAAGACCAGCTCGCCCAAGAAGGTCAATGAGACAGGTATAATGTTCTGAATCTGGAAAAATTTGATAGTCATTAGACATTAGTTTAAAGTAATGAAGCCCTTTCTGTATCAACCCTCCATGGCTACAAGCAGAAAGAACCGCAAGAAAAGCAATTTGATCCGGCATTATGTCATAAGCTAACATTTTCTCGAAAACCTCCGTAGCTTCTTCGGCAAGGCTGTGGAATGCATAAGCACATATCAGTGAAGTCCATGTAACTAGATCAGGCTCAACAACCAAGTTGAAACATTTAGACGCACTAGAAATACTACCACATTTGGAATATGCAGTTATCAGAGAATTCGCAATTGATGAGAAGAAATGAAACCCAAACTTCACCATGTAAGCATGAACTTGCATAAGTTCACTGGCAGATGATACATTGCCACATGAGCTAACAATGCTAGCCAGAGTTAACTCATCAGGATACAAATGTTCCCGAAACATTTCGCGCAGAAGTCCTATAGCCTCCTTCTCTTTTCCATGTAGCCCATAGCCCACGATTACAGTGGTCCACGAAACGACATTCCTGATGGACATTGCATCAAAAGCCTTCCAAGCATCACCTATGTCATCATTCTTCGCATACATATCAACAAGTGCGCTGGAAACTAGAACATCTGAATCAAAAGCCTCTCTTATAATAATCCCATGAATCTGCTTTCCCGGTTTACAAGAACCCAAAGTACGGCATGAACTTAGCAGGCTACTAAACGTAAACTCATCCCCCTTAACACCTTCCAACCTCATCAGATTGAAGACCCCAAAAGCCTCTTTGGCCAAAGAATTTGAAGCATAGCAATACACCATCACATTCCACAGAACCAAATCTCTGTACAATACAAAATCAAAAGCACACCTTGCATTCAATTAAACCATGCTTTGCATATAAATCAACAAGAGCACTACCCACAAAGCAATTTGAACCAAATCCCAATTTTACGACAAAACAATGCAATTGTCTACCAATCTCAACATCATTTAAATCGACGCAAACACGGAACAAACCATTAAATGTTATATCATCCGGACCAACTGCTTCTAACAACATCCTCCTAAAGTAAGAAAAACCCAGATACAACTTCGACTCATAGTTACCCCAACAGTTGACAAGCCCAGAAATCAAGGTGTTCCAAGCAACCACATTTCTCTTACGCATTTCACCAAACAGTCTCTGTGCATTATTGAAATCCTTGCATTTAAGGTATACGTTCAAAATTTGAATTTGCAAGGACTGCACATTATACAATCCCAACTTTACAACATGCCCATGTAGTTGTTTTCCCTCACGAAGAAAACCCATTTTGGCTGAAACCTTGAGGGCATTGGAGCAGAAGGAATGGGCCGAGTGAGGGTCATTGAAGTGGGTCGACTGGGGAACTTGCGTGAAGGCTCCGAGTCGACTGGAAGAGAAAGATGAGCTCGTTTGATGAAATGGGTCGGCGTGGTTTGGGGCGTTTGTAATGGCTTGAAATGAAACTGGACGATGGGTTAGCGGGAAAGGTAACGGTCGTTTGAAATGGACGGCGGGGATTGAAGATGAGCGACATTTAGAGAACATAGCATGACAGTTGGGTTTCTTTAGACGCCCTTTTGATCAAATAGTAGCGGGAAAGGGTGACAGGTTTGTTTGATAGAATTGCTACATAGGTTTTTTTTTAGGGAAAATGCTAGGCTTACCACATTTTTCATACCACATTGTGTACCACCTCTCTAATAGAGGTGGGCTCCACCTCTATTAGAGATGTGGTATACAATGTGGTTTGCTAATAGATTTTTAAGGGGATGAATTACTTTTTTGGTCTAATTAGTTTGATTGATTTTTCATTTTGATTACTTGGTCATTTTCATTTTGACAATTTTAATCATATAGTTTAGTTTTGCTAGTAATCAAATCTAAATCGCAAGGTCTGTATATACTCGTAAATTCCGTAACATTAATTGATAGATTTAATGTGACAATATATGACTATCATATATGGGGACCAAAATTGGTCAAACTATCATAACCAATAATGTAATGTATTCATTTTAAAAATAAAAATAAAAATCTAAATCGTAAGTTCCGTATTGACTCATAAATTCCGTAACACGAATTGATAGATTTAATGTGACAATATATGACTATCACTATGGGGACCAAAATTGGTCAAACTACCATAACCAATAATGTAATGTATTCATTATGTAACTTCATTTTGGTTTATGACTTCTAAAACGGGTCAAACATGAATAACTCGATTTTGACACATAAAACAGGCTTAATTGATACTAGCCTCTCCGCACGCGCTTTGTGAGAGGCTTTTTTTAAAAAAAAATTAAATTTACTTTAGAATTAAAAAAAGATAATGAGTAGTTGTGTTCCATAAAAATAGGATTCATTATTTGAGTTTTCTTTTAATTTTAATTTTTCTAATATGAAAAAGTGTAAATTTACCATACTATTCTCATTTAATTAATAATTTTAATTCTTAATGTTTAGATTAACTAAGGGCATTTTCTAGTATTTTGAATGTTTCACAATTCTCTGCCTTCTAAACCATTCTAAAATGAAATTTATTTTAGAATTAAAAAAGATAATGGGTAGTTGTGTCCCATAAAAATAGGATTCGCTATCTGAATTTTCTTTTAATTTTAATTTTTTTAAATATAAAAAAGTGTGAATTTACCATATTATCATCATTTAATTATTAATGTTTGGATTAATCAAGGGCATTTTCTGGTATTTTGAATGTTTCACCATTCTCTGTCTTTTGCTTTATATATATAGATTACTAACCCCTTGGCACATGCTCAATTGGTTTTCTTTTTTCTTTTTTCTTTTATTTTTAAAATTAAAAAAAGATAATATGGGTAGTTTTATATTCCATAAAAGTATGAGCTATTATCTGATTTTGTTTTTAATTTTAATATAAAAATATAAATTTACCATATTATCCTCATTTAATTAATAATTTTAATTCTAAATGTTTGAATTCACCAATAGCATTTTCTGGTATTTTAAATGTTTTACCATTCTCTCCCTTTTACTTTATGTATATAGATATATATAGATTACGTGAAAGAAAATGACTATTTTAAGTTTTAATTTGGTATTGTGTGGATAATAGAAGAATCATATGATTAATTTTTATGATTTGGCTAGTATGAAGATAAAGTGAAATTTGGTTTTAAGTCTTTCGCTTTACAATATGATAGCCAACTAGAGCAACGCAAATTATTGGTTGCGCCATTGACACAATCAATTAAGTGAGGCAATTTGTATGGTATTATATTATATTATTTTATGTTTGTGTTGAATTTTCTAATTCTTTAATAATTGTGTCAAATCAGTCGACACTACTGCCAACTTTCAGTTGGATACAATTGAAGGAGCACATATAGACGTTCTTCTCTTCTACAGTGCACCCAGAGATTATTATTATTTTTTAAAAACCAATAACTTGATATTTGATATTGACAAAATAATTAACAAAATCTATATTTTTCTAAGAATTCATTCGATAATTTTTTTTTTTTAAGAATAAGTGGTAGTTTTTATTGATTAATAAAACAAAATTACAAAGTAACTATACGCCGAATATGAGTAAATCTTCTCTAATGATCAAATGCAACAATGTGTTTGTTTTAATCTGGAGAGAATCACGCACAACCCAAGAATGACTAAAATTTTGGATTTAGCAATCAGAAACATATGTACTCAAACATGCAATACAGATCCGTTGTGTAAGGGCAAATTCATATCAAAAACAAAAACTAAATAAAAAAACAACATTAACCTAAAACAAACTACAACAAACTCCTAAAGATTATGAAATGAAATATAATCATACAGAGTGTTTAAACACAAAGTTATCATGCCGTATTGTTTTCTTTATATTTTGTGTTGGTCAATTCAAATGTATTTAATTTGAGTTAGGTGACAAATTAAGTGATCCAATTAGTGTAGTATCACTTGTACAAGAAAATTAGAGTAGGGGAGTTTGAATTAATGAAGTTTGTCATTTTTGTCAATAACCGATCTACGTCATATTTCAAATCCATAACCAACCATAAAGCTTAGCTTACTTGCAAGAACAATGCATTAATTAAAGTTGCTAATCTTAAGATTTATTAAACTAATTAAATATAATTAGACGAATAGCAGACGTGTACTAAATAGCCACACCATCGGCATCAAGCCTACGTGAGAGGGATATGACTCATATGAGTGGGGGGCTTACTGTGCAAAGGAAGAAAGCCACACACATACAAACCCAAAAGAGGCAAAGGCCAAAAAGGATTCTTCTTTTTTCCTTTCACCGACGGGACTTCTTTCTGAAGAACAAATATCTTTTCAATTTCCAAAGGTAAAAGCTTTTCTCTTTCGGTTAACATTTCAGCAATCGATTAGTTGGTTGTGGTTGTTTTTGTGTACAAGAACTCATTTTGTTGTTCTTGTTCCATAAATTTGGAGAAAATTGCTTCTGGGTAGTGATTGGATTATTGGGTTTGGCTCCTCCCTTGCAATTTTTATTCAATTGGGTTTCTTGTTTGCTATTTTCTGCCTTTTTTCTTATTCTTCTTCTTTTGTGGGTTGTTTCTATTTTGAGCGGTTTCTTTGTCAAGGCACTCACGTTGTCTTTGCTTTTATCTTTGGATAAAGTTTTGTTGAGTCGGATAGCATTGGAAGAGTTAAAAGTTGTATGAGTATTTGGAGTTTAAGAAGCTTTCACAGGCTATCTGTTTGTATTATTCATTTTAGCAAAGGAAAGGTATTGATTCTGTCTACAGGTTATATTTTGGTTCTCATGCTGGAAATACTATAAGTTAGGTGATTGTATATGTAACATCAAAGAATGGAATATGTTTTGAGGATTTGAATTCGAAGTGCAACACCAGCACTAATTTCAAGTACACATGCTTCGAAATTTCATATCTATCATGGTTTCAATTGCTGTAATTCATAGCATGAGATTTCTGGAATGATAGCATCATGGGTGTAGCTTCTATTTTGTTGGCTGGATTTGGTTCCTCTGTCTATCATTTTGCTGCTGACTTCTTTACGATATTTTTCTGCCTGTTTGTGGCCGTATTTTCTGTCTGTCAACTCTTATGTCTTCTTCTTACCTCTTTTGAGGGTTATTAAATATGTTTAAGCACTTTGTTGTGACTTCTTTTCAGTTTTAGTAACATAGTATCATTTTAGTTTTGTAGTATACAATCTCCTTAACTCATAGGAACATATTAGTTCTTTTGAATCTATAGCATTTGACTCTTCAGTCGCCTATGATGCCAAATAACAGGAAGCTATGCCCCAATATCGGATGGTTTTGGGTGCATAACTGTAATAACTGCGGAGAATGGGAGGTTGTTGTTGTTCTTCCAGAAAAGCTCATATGCAACTGCACGGAGCACCTGTGTATTTCTATGTCCGTATATCTTCTCACTCCAACTTCTCTTTTTGTTACATATTATAGTTTGCTCATCATTGTGTGGCTGACTGTTTAGGACTCATAGTGGAAATAATTGTATCACATAATATTAGGAGAGTGGAAAATTGTGCTTGTTTCTCCTAATCAAATAGTGGTCTATTATGCGTATTAAGATTTCATTCTCTTTTTAAAACTCTTTTCTTCAGTGTCCACCAGTTTTGGAAGAGCAAGAGTCCTTAAGATCTCATGATGTCGCAGCCTCTCCACTAAGTGCAGGACTCCTGGTTCATTGGGATCTGGAAGCATCAACACCAGACACTTACAGACCCCCTCCTCCACCGTTGCCATATGATATGGTCTTTGGATGTTCACGATCAACAGATTCTGATTCTGTCAGGGAAACAATCAGTTGCAGTAGTTTTGATACATCAGCTACTTGTGGAGATCTTGGGGAATCAGACTGCAAAGTTCAAGAAAGTTCTTTGAATACCTCACCAAAGAAGTTAGAACTTTCACAATCAAATGAACCTCATGTTTTAGCAAAAGAAGACGAGGATGTCTGTCCCATTTGTCTTGAAGGTGCTGTACCATCAGTAGCTCAGGGAACTAATTCTTTTGTTGTATGATTCTTTTTGTCTTGATTATAGGAAACAAAGAAAAGTCCATTTCTGCATCATTTTGCTATTTTAAACCGCAGGTAGCTAATGCTTTAAGCTTGTATCTTCACATGCAGACTATGAAACAGAGAATCCAAAATTTATCACAAAATGCGAGCACCACTATCACCTCTGTTGTATTCTTGAATGGATGGAAAGAAGTGATGCCTGTCCTATATGTGATCAGGTTTGCCTTTGAAACAAGTGATATATTCATTTATCAGATAAATATTTTGTCATGGCAAGGAGTGAGTTGTACTAGATAGTATCCTTGGGATTCATCTGTTAACAATGCTTGCACAGGAAGTTATTTCACCAAAAAATAAGTAAGAAAAAGAGTGAAAAATACTGAAGCACCTCAGTTTTTTGGTGGAATGACTGGAAATGTCACTGTTTCTATGGCGAGCCTAGGTATTGGTGACTGGATGAACCCTACGTGATAATTATTAAGTAATCAGATCTCTGACTGATTTGTCTATGTTGTTTTAAGTCCCTTATGCTTGTAAATGAAATTTTCTCCTTTTCTGATGTTTCAGGAACTGGTGATTGACCATAGCTTTAGTTTGTAGCTAATTAGTGCTCTTTCAAAATCAAAGTTTATTTGCTGCTTGAAGTCAGAGATTGCCAACTCAGTAGACTCTGGATGGACAGTAGCTGTTTGTTTCGAAACCTGCTGGGGATGGGTGTCCTGCAGATTCATTTTTTTAATCTGGTCATTCTCAAATTGGAGGTTGAACTGGATCTCTTATGTTAGCTGTTTTGTTTGGTCAGTTGTTGGTAAAGTCTCTCTCTTTGTTTAGAGCTTGATTTCCAATTCTCAGACAGGTCTCTGGATTCTAAGTGGAGCAATCAAGAAGTTAAGAACAGGGCCATCCAATGGAAACCAGAAAAATGAATGCCAGTGCCATCTTCAAAGTTGTGTTGGTTTGCTACAACTCTTTTTGTACAGATCTCTTAGTTTGTTGTAGGAATCATTCTGTTGTCATTTGTTGTTATCTGCTGCAGAATTTGATTTATACACTCACTGCAGCCCTTGGATTCTAATCTGTAAATCACATCTCTTTTACATTTTGGGTGGATTTGATTTGGCAAAGTTGTTTCATTTCATATATGAAATCATCCAATGATCAGGAAATTGAGTCCTAAAATATTTGCTAGAAAATTGATTTTATGGACACTGGGGATCACTGTAAACTAAACCATTCCTCAAAGTAAACAGAGCAAGAAAAGCAAAACAAAAATTAAACAGAAAATCACAACTTCGCAACCAAATTGGATTCTTTTTCTTTTGGGTCTTTTTTTTTTGTGTGCTGATGGTGTATGATTGTATGAACCAGTTGTATTCTAACATCCCCCTACCATTACTGTAAAACTCAATCAATTAGGTTAGTGGGGCTTTCTTTCTGGGTCTATGTCGACTTTATTTTGGTTTAAATATTGTCAAGTTCGTCTTCCAAGAATGGAAGAGCTAAGCCCTTGAATTTATAAGTGTGGGTCTCATCTCATTGCATGTGTTCTTTTTATATATATATATATATATATTTTTTTATATATGTATAAATTGCAGAAGATGAGCTTGTGGGATGCAAGAGAGAGAGGCACATGTTGAGCCTCTTGTTTTCACAAAGGGAAACATTTCGAATCCTTCTTTGGTAGCAAAGTGCGTGTTGTTTGAGCACCATTGACCCTCATGTCACCATTCCTAAGATACAAGTACTTAGATTGATGCACTACAATTTAGAAGTTTGTATCTAACACATTCTAAACCACCAAACACTTGGGTTCTTGTGAAAACAAAGAGTGTTGTCGACTAGTCAATGTCCTTGTACCCTAATATACAAGTACACCATCATTATTCTTATCTTTTCAAAATCAACAATGGACGGTGGCTTGAATTTGAACTTTTTTTAATATTAAGAAAATCAGTACTACTAAATTAAGGGCTAGTTGGTAATTCTCGTCCTTAATATGAAATAAATCATTTTATTATTATTGAATTTCGTAAGTTTTACCCTATAGTTATAGAGATCACCAATACTACTATTCAACCCCTTATATTCGATGTGTTCCTATGAACTACATTTTATGAAATTCTTAAACATAGTTTCTCCGGAGTGTATTCAATTGGGATTTTAAAAGACTATTTAGGGATAAAAAAGTCTAGTGAATTTAAGTAGAATGTAATGACTTATATGATTTTATTTATAGATTTCTATAATCAAGATTTTTCACTTATAATTTAAAAAAACCAAATGCATTATTTTTATTATAATAAAAGACCACATGAATTTAACTACCCATCATCTTTCCTATTTAGAGTTAGCATCTTGTTCATGACATAACTACACCTCTCCACTCTTGAGGTCCACCATGACTTGGATTGAGCAACCACTAGTAATAAGATCCATTATGCAGAACTCTAATCACAGCCATGATGGGGCACTTTGTGCTCTGTTAGGGCACAAGTGTCATGTCACCCACCATTTGTAGCTGCCTTGTTAACCTATTTTTAGGAAAATTAATTAGAGAGAAGATGTCCACAGCCACATCACAGTATGTGAGTTCTTTTGTAATGCATGTGATTTGTTTGGCACCTTCATATATGCATGCAGTGAGGCCAATTTTACCTGGAACTGGGAATTTCTAAAGTGACATATATAAAAAAATGCTCTCAAAAATGTTGAAATCAATTATAAAAATTCCTTGAATTTAACTTCATTATTATTAGATTTTCATGATTTTAAAATAAAGTATTGTCCATCTGATGATTTTTAATTTAATATTAACAATTCAAATCCACATGATGATTTCATACCATTCTTCGTCCTAAATTAGCTTCCTATCGAACATGTTTAATCTTAATAGAATACCACAAGACTTGTTTATATAATTTAAAAGTCTTAATTGAATATCACAAGACTTATTTATCCCAAATAATCTTTTAAAATCACAACTAAATACACCCTTTGTATTATAAAATAACTTCACAATCCAACGACATCTTCGAAGAAGACACACCTACGCATCTAAACTATATGATTGGAATTATTGAAGTGGTCACGGAGGCCTAAAACACTTGATGTATAGTTAAGCCAATACGAATCTTATTATGCATAGTTAAGCCAAGCAGTATCCTTCAAAAATCATTGAAGCGACATTCAACCCTTGATACTAAACGACATAACTCCCCGAACTGTTTTTTATGATAGAATCCAATGATGTCCGGACAACCTAAGTCTTAAAACCTTGGAATAAAAAATCATTTTTAGTGTGACAAATACTAAAAAGCTTGACTCTTTTGGCTTTTAAAATTACAAATTAAAAGAAAGAAAACTAAAATAAATTTAGATATTCAGAGATTATGACGACCATGCGCAGCACATGGAGAATGACAGGAGCAAGATTTGTCAATGACAATGAGACCTTTTTGTCTTGGTCTTGGTTTTGATTATAATTTTATTACCAAATAAAAATAAAAATAATAAAAATGGAAAATAGAATATTTTCAGGCAATCACGTTTGGACGCGTTTAACTTTCCCATGTTGCCTCCACAGTCCACTTCTTGGTCCCCTCTCTCCCGTTGTACCAAAAAGGCAAATTCCCTCTTTTTCTTAATTTATTTTATTATTTTCTTTTCCATTTTAAAATTCTATTTCCATATTTTCGCCTTCTTTCCCCACCGAAATCGCACCACCACCGTATTTTCTCTCTCTTGTTATTCTGATTCCTCCATGAAATCGGCCCACCGCCATATCTCTCTTCTTCCATGAAACCGCGCCACCGCCACCACCACCACTACCCTCCATGGCCTCTACCATGTTGCCCATTTCTCGTCTTCTCCTTCTTCTTCTTCTTCTGCTTCAAACCCTTCTTCTGACAACCACAATTGAAGAACCCATTGAAGAATTTTCAGCCGAAAACGAAACCCAGTTCTTTAACAGGCCCCAGGTTTCCAACTTTCCCATTGCTTCAAATCCCACTCCAAACTCGCTCACGGAGTCTTCCTTACTCGCATCGCTTCAATACCCAATACTGGGAAAAAGCAAAGTTGTGGTATTTGGGAACTCGACTCTCTCGAGCGCGAACAAGACCTTCTCTCTCGGCTTCATCTCCACCAATGGCGATGAACCCAACTGGTACTTGGGCATTTGGTACGCTTCGATTCCAGTCCCGACCTGCGTCTGGGTCGCAAACCGAGAGAGACCCATCAAGAATCTCACTTTCTCGAGCTTAGAAATCTCCGGATCGGGTCGACTGGTGGTCAAGGACCCGGGTAATTCTATCGTGTGGTCGAGCACGAACACGGAGATTGGTGTTGACGTTCAGCTTTTGGACAGTGGCAATCTGGTTTTGCTCACCCAAGGAGGCACGGTCGCGTGGCAGAGCTTCGATTACCCGACTGACACGTGGCTTCCCGGCATGAACTTGACGAGCGAGCGAGCGTTGACGAGTTGGCGAAGCTACAGAGACCCCTCGCCAGGTTCGTATTCTCTGCGGCTGAGACCACCGAACTACGGTGAGTTTGAGCTGCTTTTCAATGGCACTGTAGTTTACTGGAGAACTGGGAATTGGACCGGTAACGGGTTCATAAATGTGCCTGAGATGTTGGTGCCTTACATCTATAAGTTCCATTTTCTCGACCCGTTTAAGCCAACGGCGTCGTTCGGGTTCACCGAGGAGCCGTTGGATAACGGGTTGGACCCGCCGCTGACCCGGTTCCAGATGGACGTTTCGGGTCAGCTCCGGCAGTTCACTTGGGCAACCCAGACCTGGAACATGTTCTGGTCTCAGCCTGAGAACAAGTGCAGAGTGTTTGGCCTGTGTGGGGCTTTTGGGGTTTGCAGTGGTGAAGCACTTAGGCCCTGTGAATGCCTAGCTGGTTTTAATCCTGTGGATGAGCCTAGTTGGAACTATGGGGACTACTCTGGTGGCTGCCACTGGATGGGTGAATATGGTGAGTCTTGTGATGAGAGGGGTGATGGGTTTGACAAAGTTGGTGTTGTGAGCTATGAAGGTTCTTACTTTAAGTCATATAGAACTACTTTGGATGATTGCCAACGCACATGCTTGGAAATTTGTTCTTGCATAGGGGTCAACTACGATGGCAATAGTACCGTGTGTAAAGTTTATTATGGGTCTCTCTCGAATTTGAAGAATTTGAGCTCTGATGGTGCAGTCGGTGAGGTCTTCTATTTAAGGGTACAGAAAAATTTGAAGGTTGAGATCAAGAAGCAGTTGAATCCTGTAGTTTTGAGTGCTAGCATTGTTGGGTCGGTTGCGGGTTTGGGGTTTGTGGTGGTGCTGGTGATGGTTTTGATTTGGAGAAGAGAGAAGAAGAAGAAGGAAATAAAAGAAGGGGTTGTTCAACTTCAGCAGGCCTCAAATTTGAAGGTGTTTTCTTATAAAGAACTTCACACTGCAACACGGGGTTTTTCAGACAAACTTGGGCATGGTGGCTTTGGAGCAGTTTTCCATGGGGAGTTATCAGATTCTACTGTTGTTGCTGTGAAACGCTTGGACAGGCCAGGTGGTGGAGAGAAAGAATTCCAAGCCGAAGTTTGCACCATTGGGAACATTCAACATGTCAATCTTGTGAGACTTAGAGGCTTCTGCTCAGAAAATTCTCATAGACTTTTAGTTTATGAATACATGCCAAATGGTGCTCTTAGTGCATATCTACGTCGAGAGGGTCCAAATTTGAGTTGGGATGTTAGGTTTCGTCTAGCAGTTGGTATGGCAAGAGGCATTGCATATTTACATGAGGCGTGTAGAGATTGCATACTCCATTGTGATATCAAACCCGAAAACATTTTGCTTGATAGTGATTACACCGCGAAGGTGTCAGATTTTGGGTTAGCAAAACTACTTGGCCGGGACTTTAGTCGGGTATTAGCCACAATGAGGGGTACCTGGGGCTATGTGGCGCCAGAGTGGATATCTGGTGTGGCAATCACCACAAAAGCCGATGTTTACAGCTACGGAATGACATTGATAGAATTACTTGGGGGGCGCAGAAATGTGGAGGCACGCCGATCTGAAGGTGGCAGAGAGGGTGGAGGTGAAAAAACCGACAGTTGGTTCTTTCCTCCCTG